GGGACCACAGGCGCCCACCACAATGCCCGGCTATTTTTTGGTTGCAGCCATCATTGTTGTTTGGCAGGCCCGGGCTGGGGATTCGAACCCGCCACCTTGGGTGTATGTGGCTGGCGCCTTAGCCGCTTGAGCCACAGGCGCCCCAGGAAGAGGCTTTTTAAAGAAACAATCTAGTGGCCGGGCATGGTGGCTCACACCTGTAATACCAGTACTCTCGGAGGCTGAGGTGAGTGGATTGCCTGAGCTCATGGGTTCAAGATCAGCAAGATAGCCAGGTCACCCATAGTCCCAGCTACTCAGGAGGCTGAGGCAAGAGAGCCCAAGAGTCTGAGGTTGCCATGAGCTGTGACTCCATGGCACTATACCCAGGGTGACAAAGTGAGACTCTGTCTCAAAAAGAAACCAAGTTTAGTGAATGGATTAACTGTACACCATTATATGTACACCATGGAGTACTATTCAGCTGTAAGAAAAGATAGAGACTTTACATCTATTCTGTGTAAGTGGATAGAATTGAAACACATTCTTACTAAAGTATCTCAAGAATGGGGAAAAAAGGCAGCTCCCATAGCTCGAACCCGGCCTGGGCCAGCTATAAATCAATAATGACAACTGCAGCAACAACAAAAAAAAAACAATCAGGTGTTGGTGGCAGGCGCCTGTAGTCCCAGCTACTTGGGAGGCTGAGGCAAGACAATTGCTTAAGCCCAAGAGTTTGAGGTTGCTGTGAGCTGTGATGCCACAGCCCTTTACCAAGGGTGATATAGTAAGACTCTGTCTCAAAAGAATGGGGGAAAAAGTATCTATTGTACTAAATACTAATATGAAACCAATATGTACACAACTACACAGCAACATGAAAGATAAAACCCAAGTATACTTTAGCAAGGGGGAGGAGAGAAAAAGGGAGGGCACCTGTCAGGATCTCCCCTAATATGCAATGTGAGGCTATACAGCACACTTCTGGGTGAAGGGCTCAACTGAACTGGAACTTTACATTGGAAACAAAGACAGTGTAACCTAAACATTTGTACCCTCAGATTAATTTGAAATAAAAAAAAAAATTCAAATATGCTGAAAAAGTTATTTTTACCCCTAAAATACCTAAATAAATTTTAACAACCAAAGGAAAAAAAAATAGCCAACAGAAGTTTAGATTTTACTAAAGACTATCAGAACTTGAAGGGGGCACAATAATCATATTATAATACCCTCATTTTTCAGGTAAGAAACACCCTCACTGGAGACATTCAAAGATTGGACTTTTCCAGAACAGAAAGGAAGCTCATGCATCAGAAAAGGTTTGAGCTTGAATGGCAGATAAGATCTTCCCTTAGTCTGAAGTTCTCTTGTTCTGTGTTATATTGTGTTGGGCAATAAAATTACAGCATTGCTGTAATCTTTCCCAAGATTTAAGCCAATAACTGACTGTAGAACTCTCTTATTATCCCTTCTTTCCTTTTCTAGGTTTCAAAAACATAATCAGAAGGTTACCCCTGATTGGATCTGCAGTAACAACATTTGTTGTGATGTCTGGAAACTAGGTTCGAATGAAAGGACAACCACAGTCCTGCTACCTGTTCTCACCATCAGGTGGTTGGTGTGGCTGTTAGACTTTGTCAGTCATCATAACTTATGGTTAATATACTGCAAAATAAATGATGAAAGATTTAAAAAATGTCAGACTTGCAAATAAATCTGAAAATCATTTATTCACTTAATGGTCTCCAGTATTTTCTTTTCTTTTTTTTTCCTTTTTTTTTGAGACAGAGTCTCACTGAAGCACAGTGGTATGCTGTGCTAGTGCAACAGTTCAAAACGCCTGTGGTCTGGTGGGTGACCTCTTAGACTTTTAGCTGGAAGCCTGTTGCTAAACCAAGTCTTTAATGCATATTGTATTACCCTGGTAATTTTTATGTTCCAACAAAACAATGCTTTCATTTAACTCTTAACAAAAAAAGCTGTCTTACCAGTTCTTAGGTCTTTCAGACACTTTTCTTAGTGGGAATCCAGAAAACCTCTAGTTTGGAACTTATATCTCATTCTTTGGCAAGGACTAGAAAGCTGTATAATATCATTTTTTTTCTTTTACTTATCTTTATAGACACAGGGTAGAGTGTAGTAACCCAATCATAGCACATTCTAACCTCAAACTGCTGGGCTTGTATCCTGCCTTAGCCTCCCCAGTAGGTATGACTACAAGCCTGACTGGGTTTTTTGTTTGTTTTGTTTTGTTTTGTTTTTTAAGATTCTCCTGGAAGGCTGAGGAGGGTGGATTGCTTGAGCTCAAGGGTTCCAGACCAGCCTGAGCAAGAGCTAGACCCCCATCTCTAAAAATAACCGGGTGTTGTGGCCGGTGCCGTAGTCCCAGCTACTTGAGAGGCTGAGGCAAGAGGATCGCTCGAACCTAAGAGTTTAGGTTGCTGTGAGCTATGGTGTCACAGCACTCTCCCAGGGCAAGAAAGTGAGGCTCTGTCTCAAAAAAAAAGAAAAAACGATTATTATAGATTCTCATGCAGTTATAAGAAATAATATGGAGATCCTTTGTCTGTTACCTTGTTACCTTTGGTAACATCTTGCAAAACTAGAGTACAATATCACATCCACGATATTGATACAGTCAAGATACAGAATGTTTCTCTCAGGAAGGTCTCCTTGTGTTTGTAACAAAACCCATTTCTCTCCTGTCTCTTCCCCCTCCTTGGCTTTCTCTACTTTTGTAATTATTTCCTTATATAAATAGAACCATATGTAACCTTTTAAGATGGGCTTTTTTTCACTGATCATTTTCCAGGCTGTTTTATATATTGATACCTCAATCTTATTCCTGAGTAATATACCATGGCATATGTGTGCTAGTTTTACTTAACCATTATCCACTGAAGAATGTCTGAGTTGTTTCCAGTTTTTGACTTTTGCCTCTCCCTGCAATCTACCCTACCTGCAGTTGTTCCCAGCTCCCTTCAGTCAGAGCCTCCTACCTCCAGCTGGGACAGTCCATCTAGGGCTGCATCTAAGTTGAGTACAGTAATTCACTCCTCTAATCCTACTGGGAGGCTGAGGCAGGAGGATTGCTTGAGCTCAGGAGTTTGAGACCAGCCTAAGCAAGAGTGAGACCCTGTCTCTACTAAAAACAGAAAAACTGGGCACCGGCCCCATATACTGAGTGTGGTGAGTTCAAACCCGGCCCCAGCCAAACTGCAACAAAAAAATAGCCAGGTGACTCTGGTCCCAGCTACTTGGCAGGCTGAGGCAAGAGAATCACCTAAGCCTAAGAGCTAGAGGTTGCTATGAGCTGTGACACAAC